GCTTTAAAAAGAAACAGTTTCCATACATGAGCCCAGATTCTTAATCTATGTGGCACAGGGTAAAACATAAGCTACACATAATTGTATGAAGGAGAATGACAGCAATGCATTTCACAAACAAATAGCACAAAGCACAAAGCAACCTGCCATCATCTACAGCAGCACAGCACTGTGGAGAACTGCAAACAATAGTCTTAGCTGCTCAGCTGAAGAAACTCTTTGGCACCACTTTTAAATTACCTCGAGCTTCTTTTTTTCTGCCTCATGTTCTCTAAAACAGTTCGTTAACATCTGCAGCTGTTTGTACCTGGTTTCCAGATTGTTCGCAGAAGTGTGTGAAGTATGAGCCAGCACGAGACTCAGCACAAAGAGCCTGCAGCATCTTTTCCATCATTGTGGTGCACTGTAGTTGACTTCTGCTGGACATCACCTGATGAAATACAATACAAAAACTTTAAATGCAATATAGCGTTTATATAAAATAACTAGGTAAAGCTGGAGTGAAAACTAGTTGATTTTCATTTGTTTTGGCTTTAAAATTATTTTCCCACAGTACATTGTTTAGTCACTACAAAAATCTATCAAAACAGGTGAATCCTTAGCGTGCAAAGACACAGCTTGAATAGTTTTCCCGTTTGTCTCTGTTTTGTATGTTTTTAGACTGCAAAAGATGTTTGATAAATCACTTCCTGCAGTGGTTCACAAATCAGGAGATGGCAGTGGGAGAGGACCCCAGCAGGGTGTAGAGTGCATGCAGGAGGAGCATGGATGACTAGAGGGAGAAACTACCAAGTTGAACAATTTATACAAGTATAAACAAGATGTGGCCATCGGCACAGAACGCTCGTAAAGACCGTGTTTTGTGGTTTACCGACACTATTTTATCCCTGTATGCACTTTCTCAACCTGCACTGATATGAGTTAAAGATGTGAACACTCTGCAGATGCTCATCAAAGGTCTCAGTATGTTTCAAATGAATCACGCATATGAGGAAGCACGGTGGCACGGTGGTTAGCACTGTTGCCGCACAGCAAGAAGGTCCTGAGTTCAATTCCACCATCAGGCCGGGGTCTTTCTGTGTGGAGTTTGCATGTTCTCCCCGTGTTTGCGTGGGTTCTCTCCGGGTACTCCGGCTTCCTCCCACCGTCCAAAGACATGCAGCTTGTGGGGATAGGTTAATTGGATAATCCAAATTGCCACTAGGTGTGAATGTGCGAGTGAATCTGAGTGTGAATGGTTGTCTGTCCCTGTGTGTTGGCCCTGCGACAGACTGGCGACCTGTCCAGGGTGTACCCTGCCTCTCGCCCTATGACTGCTGGGATAGGCTCCAGCGCTCCCGCGACCCTGAAAAGGATAAGCGAATGGATGGATGGATAAAATCTATCTTTTAATCCTTTTTTACTGCTGACTGATAAAAACTCTGGGTTGTTTATTCATGATGCTTTTGTGGGCTTGATTTCCTGCCATAAAGCTTATAAGCACATAGTAACATATATCTCAATACACCTACCTGTGTACGGACAGTATGGGAAGACTGGGGCGAGCTGCTGTCAGTTCGTAAGAACGTTGAGCAACAGCGAGGCTGTGAGCCCAAAGAAGAGCTGTAACACCACCCTGTCCTCAGCTCCACATCAGAGGAGTTACTATGGTCTTCCTGATGGCACAGAGATGTCCAGAACCGAGGAACCCTGCAGAAAAGAGAGGGGGCATAATTTCATTAGAAGATTTAGACACATGCAAAATTATAACATATGAAAACCCAGTTTATACAGAACACAATCAACAATTATACAAGACAACAAAATAATAAATGTAATACAGGAGTAAATGTAAAGGTCATTTTTATGGATGCATTCTAGACACAGTCACTGACATTTAGAAGATAAACACTGCAAATCTCACCAGTAGTGGAGCAGAGGCTCAGTGAGGCAGGTCTGAACTGAGCGCAGTTTGTCCTCTGTCCAGCAGGGGGAGGTAGTCAGTCCCAGTCTGGAGAGCAGCTCCGCATTCAGACTGAACTGACTGCTGCTCAGCAGGTAGCAGCTTCTCATGAGAACCAAATACCTGAAACAATACCACATTGAAAATTTATTTCACTTAACAAAAGACAATAAATACTGCTTGAATATTTAGAACTTTTCGAGCTGCAGAATAAGACAGGTGTGTTTACCTGTGCTTCCGCTCTTTGTCCCGTGCAGCCTTCAGTCTCTCTATATCCATCCAGAGATTAAGGAGCTTCTCTCCTGACGTTCCTTGTAAAAACTCCCTAAACTTATCCAAGCTTCCATAGAAACCTGTATCATTGCAACAAGTATAAGGGACATCTTCCTGGTTTGTGGCTCTGCTCCCCTCTTCCTGATCCTTCTTATCCCATCCACACCCCCTCTTGCCACGTTGACTTCTCTCTTTCTCCCCCTCCAGTCTTCCTCTGTTGAGATGTCGGTTAAGGTCACATTTACAGGATCTGTCTGTGCTGCTACAGTTTGCCTGATCTCCTGACTTGCTGAAGCACTCCCAAGTGTCTGCCTGGTTCGGACCATCCGTTACATTCATTGTGTCTTTAAGCACCTGTTCAGTCACTTGGACAGCCAGGTACTCCAAGTGTTGTTCGGGAGAATGAGATGCCAGGCTACTGATCTCTTTTAGGTGTTTCTCTTTACTAACAGATGATAGCCCAGAGCAGACACCCAGCTCTGTTTGTGAGCTCTTAAGTTCCTGAGGTTTCCCACTTTGAAGGTGAGCAGAGGAGAAACCTGATGAGGACAAAGGGGGAAAGGAACACAGGCTTTCTGGCTCAGACCAGCTGGAGTAACATCTGGTTGAGTCACTGCTTTTTGGAATAAGTTGTTCCTTTTGCAGAGATGTTAGACATGTAAGATTGCGTGTGCTCATAAACCCTGAGATGTGAGGAAATAAAAACATGGGAAACACATAGTTCTTATTTTTATACTCACAGGATACAAACACATTTTGTTTTGCTGCACTGCGGGACAAGACATTTACTACATTAGTATTACCCGTGTTTAATTTTAAGGAACGCAGTTGAGGGGCTGACAGGGTGGTCCGAACTGAACTGCTTTTCCTTCTGTGAATACACAAGTTTGGGTCCCACTGAAGCAGAAGCTTGGCTAGTCTGGGGAAAATCACAGAGAGAGGAGGCACTGCCAGTTGGAAAATACACAAGCAAGATTTCTTAAAAACATTCTTTTTTTTAATTCAGTTGAATTCAGTTTTATTTAAATACAATATCAGTTGTCTCAAAGCCCTTTTTATTGTAAGAAAAAGACCCTACAATAATACAGAGGAAAACCCCACAATCAGATGAGAAAGTGCTTGGCAGCAGTAGAAAGGAAAAACTCCCTTATAACAGGTAGAAACCTCTCAGGTAGGCACAGCCATGTGCCACAGCTGGTGAGGCAGAGAGACGAGACAAAAGATTCAAAAGAATGGCCTGTAAATGGCTGCTGTTGTATTGCTTCTTCTATGTGCAGCCTATAAGTTAGCATGGCTCTCTCTGCAGAGATTCTTGAAGCCTTTAGGCTTCTTAAAAGACAGAGAAGAGATTAGTCTCAGATCTGAAAGTAGCAATCTTAAATCGATACTTCTTTTAGAAGTTAAAACACTTGCAAACTAAACTAAAAAGAGACCCAGACTTTACTTGTTCATCATAAAATAAGGAGACAGCAAAGTCAGCATCAAGGCATCTTAGCACACTGTCTGGATACTGCAAAGAAATCACATTTCATAGGTAAAGAGAAAATGTAGGTAAAAATGAGATGAAACTTGCCTGCAAAACAAATGCATTAAAACATTTGTTTCAACAGGATTTAACACTTTACCTGTATTCATGATAACAATCACTTTGAAGGAAAAAGGGGAATCTTTCCTTTTTGATCCACTGCATTCCTCGCTCTCTGTCCAGGCACTGTGAATGTCAGGGACAAGTTCTTCAATCCAGTATAGAGATTTCTACCCCTCCATACAAACACACACAAACATTTTGCTAGCAGCTACTTACACAGACAGCGTAATGATTGTCTATTGGGGGCATTTTGGTGAGCAGTGACGGGTCAACAGCAAGAAGCTGTGATTTTCTGTTGTAAAGGGCTGATCGGATTCTTGTGGAGACAAACTCTGCCGCTCTACTCGCCATCTCAAACAGCCCCGTCTCCCGGTTGTACCGCAAAGCCTCTGGGAAAGACTGGCAAAAACATGCGAAGGTAAGAAAACTGCTTTGAGCCATGTCAAAGTTCTGCATATCTATGTCAGGCCTACATTACCGGCGCACTTAGGAAATCATTGAAGAAGTGAGCCAGTACAGCATCAGAGGCCAGAGAGCTCTCCTGTGTGAAGATCAACATTAAAACGCTTAAAAAACAAACATTCTGTCCGAGCTGTAACAGACTGGGGAAAATATGAGGAATCTAAACTTTTACTCACAAAACTGTCCACAGTAAGGCGGAGAAACTCTTGCAAAGAGAAAGAAAAACTCAAATTTCCAACACGCTAGTTGTAAAAACATGAGTAAACTGAGATGTGTTTAAAGTGCTGCTCTTACCTGTTGAAATGAATCCACACATGCTTTTCCTTAAAAATAAAAATGGCAGACAGTACTTTCAGACGGGCTTACTCAGAAAGTCAAACTCAATCACTGTGAGTCCAGGTTGCTATGGAAGTGGACGCATTTTCAAAACACAGGGGGGGGCAGTAAAAGTTTAACCAGACAGGACCAGAGAAATTAATGCAATTCAGAGATTACTTTAAAGTTCTAAGTATCTAAGGTGTGTATGTGTATATATATATATATATATATATTTTTTTTTTTTTTTTTTTTTTGGGGGGGGGGGGGGGGGTTAAAATAAAACTCCTTTCGCAGTGAAAGTGTCAAACCACTAGGTGGCACCAAAGACTGATTTGTACATGTTACAGCGACATACACAATCCTCACAAATGTGACGCAGCACACGGGTAGGGGAAGAAAAGAAGAAGAAAAAAAAGGTTTTACTATATATCAAGTTTATTTTAAAACCGATCTAGAAAACATGTTTGTAAAAGCTGAAAATCTCAATAGCTCCAAAACAAAAAACCCAACATGCTGTACAGTCAGTGCATAGAAAAATACAACAGTAAAATGAAATCCTTTTATCTGCTGGTAAAACCTCCTTCAGTGCATAATTTAAAAAAAAATATACAAGTAAGAACTATATCAAAAAAGGAAAGGGGTAGGATGGGATAAGTAAAGAAATACAAACAAACATTGAAGAGTACAGACACCGCACGTACTACACATCTGTTTCCTCGCTGCTTATTGCCATCTATAAACTTGCAAAAAATAGATATTATTAAAGTGACTTCATGAAGCAGGAATAATTTGTTCATAGTCTTTTAACATTGCGCTTGCTTTGAGCGCTTCCGGGAAGTATGTCCTTTCTGCTACGGCCTGCAGAGTGACTACCGCACTCTCTAGAGCCGTGAGAAGTACACAAGCATGACATGCAAAACTGGAATCCACAGTCAGCTCTGCTGCACACTCCCTCTCTTTTGCCTGAATGGCATCTTGCGGGATGCTGACATCTCGGACAAGGCTTGAGGCACTCATCATTGAAGAGGGTTTTAGCAACCTGAGAGGAAAAAGAAGTTATTAAAATAACTTTGATAAATGTTTGATGAGAAATGCCTCAAAGCATGACTGTACCATGTTCAAGAAAATGCAGTTTAATGGATTTGTAACTTACCTCCAGAAATTTATCCCGTTTGCTGCTGCTGTCTGAATGCAAGGCGCTGAGCTGCAGTGGCGTTAAAGCCCTGCTTCCTGACTGTGGAGTGCAGTAGCTGGAGGTCCTAGACTGGGCCTGAACTGTCTTCAGAGCTGATCGCTTAAGCAACATGGCTCTGGTCTCTGCATCAGCGACATGGACAGCAGCACCAAGCTATAAGACGACAGCAAATAAGTTCAGAGTCATTTCAGTGACAGTGATGGAGATTGTGATAACGCCGACTCATTTTGATGTACGTATGCACTGATGACCACAGAGCAAAGACTGTGATAACAGAGATGTTGTGTTTAACTGAAAACACAGAAAGCTAAATGCTACAGAGCTGAACAAACACTCTTATAAGCAGGGGTGCACATAAGTGGTCCGCAGGTGCGCATTCGCTGTCAAAATAGGAAGCGAATAAGATAAGAGGCTGAAATGGGCGTTTGCATACATATAAAAAGGCACAGTTTTTGTCCGCTAGAGTGGGATTTTCACGGCATATTCTGCACCACATCTCTGTGCGTTCATCATTTGTTTGAAGCCAGCTCACCTCCTGCAACCACTTTTCCGAGAATACGCGCTTCTTTTGCTGTTCGGACTCCTGACATTTCTTTGGAGGTGGAGGAACACCAAAGCAATTTCTTAAAGGAGTTTGCTTCTTCAACATTTTTAAGAGTTCTAAACAAATGTGTGTCCTCCTCCAGAAAATCTTATGTACGCAAATGCGCGTTGCAACTTCTTATCTGGTGCACGTCTTTTATTTTGACAGCAAATGCACACCTGCGGACCACTTATGTGCAGCCCTGCTTATAAGACCTTTAGCCATAGCCTGGCTCTTACCTCAAGAGCAGCCTCCACTTGACTCAGGTGGCTTCTTCTCATTGTGCTAGCTAGCTTGTCTTGCTGGAGAATTTGATTCCAGCTTTTGCAAACACAGCTGCACCTGTGAAAAACAACAAAGTATGAGAGAAATATTTTCAGCTCACTAAACTTTTTAGACAACACAAGTTTGTAATGCAAGCTAAACTCCACTGATTTTACTAATAATTGCATCGTTTATACAACATAAACACTGTTATAACAACATGTATGTTTCAGCTCAGTGTCAATCACCTTGCGATCATTCTACAGGACTCTGAATTATTCTTTACTCCATTAAAAATGTAGTCATGATTTTATTAATCAGTGACCAAATGGGAAAGGAGCTGCAACCCGTGGCAAGTAAGAATGGATGATATGCGCTGTAAAATATTGTGTGAATAAAAATGTATATTTGGAAACATCACCTATAGACACTCTCAGAGTCCATCTGGCAAAGTATAACAGCCAGGATGTGCCTGAGGTTCCTCTTCATCAGCTCTGTGAGTATGTCCACCTTCTCCAGGCCCATCTTCCTGCCAATCAGCCCTGCCAATGGCATAGTGGTCCGAAGAGTGCTTGGGGTCTTGGTCAGTGCTGCTGCAGACTTCAGCTGCTCTTTCAGGCTTGGACTTTGACCAGCCAACATCTGGGCATGGTGCTGACACATAGCTTGAACCAGCTGCAGCGCTGGAGTCAGAGAGAGGTTAACTGGAGTCATCCTGAGTGGTGTGATATCTGGATTGCCAAAATCTGTAGAACAAGGGGTCATGTCTTGTGCCTTGGTTTTAGTCACTCTTTGTGGGGTGGTATAATCTTTTTTTGCTGAGCCCAAGCGATCAGAGCTCACGGCATTACCACATTTAACAGAGAGGACACTGCGAGGGGTGATATCCCCAGCAAAAACCTCATCCTCTTTAGAATGGCTGTAACATTGATAAGGATGTTGATGCTTTCTGTCCGTTGGGTCTTCCTCAGACTGAGAGCCACCTTCTTTAAGCGTAGAGAGCCTGTGCTGACGCTGCAAACGGGAGCGGCGCCTTCCCTCTGTTGGATTTGGAGTTTCAGAGTTTCCTTTGGAGGCAGACAGCAGCAGCTCCTGGAACGAGCCATCATGGTCCACTGTGGAGTCTTGCGATTTATCAAGAGTCACTGAGCTGAAACCGCTGTCCTCACTCAACGACCTGTTTAAAAGTCAGAAAGGAGTTAATCTGTGTTTAAATATTTTAAAGTTTTATTTTCTTCGTCAATAAAACACATACCTGATATAGCTGGGTGTATGTGCAGATGATGGTGTGCACAAGACACTTGAGCCATTATATAGATTATCTGTCATGCTGCCCAGTGGTGACTGAGAGTTTTCTTTAGAGATGGGCAGGAATTCGTTGAAGCCTGGAGTCTTGACATTACATTGACCAGATGCAAAAATGTGTTCACTCATGTCTAGATCTGTGAGTGAGGCTTCTTTCTCAAAACTGGGAAGGTGACAACAGTTGTGCTTGCCATCTTCAAGAGTTGAGGTCCTCACCTGTGTGAACAGAACACGGCGCTTCCTGCCTGATAGTGGCAGGTCCTGGTCCACTTTTAAAGTGCTTGATGCCCCCATCTCAGTGTCTACAGAGTCAAATGATGTATTCAAATAGGGTTCAGACCCACTGACAGGGGATTCAATCCCTCTGGTGCACGGTGATCTTGTGTTGTCATTTTTGACATCTACAGTGGGTTTACACAGTAGAAGTCTCTGTCGCAGCGAGGTATCCCTTTTGCATATTTTAGGAGTTTCACACCAGCTTACAGCTGAAACCTTCCTGGAGTCTCTGCCCAAAAATCTGACTTGTTCTCGGATCTTCTTTGGCGTGACAGAAACCCGGAGGTTCTCTTTGGGCGTTTCATCCAGTTCCACCGGAGACAAAGACCTACATGAATCAGCTCCACTGGTGCTGTGTGGGCTCTGGAAAAAACCTGAGTATCCACTGTCAGAGCAGTCATCGTAGCAGTGCTGCCCTTTAGAGCCATCAAGATAAAGACTAGATTCAGGAGTGCACTGCATCTTCCTCCTGAGTGCGCCAACAAACCTTAGCCTGGCCTCCAGGGGATTACAAGTCACCTGGAGTGAAACAGAATATAATAAACAGAACTACTTCAGCACAGCAAATATGAACTTAAAGAGACCGTAAACACATACAACGCTAGCTTAAATACTTTTAAAAACTATATTTTTAAAAGGCGTCTCATGCTGGACTGACTTACAGTAAAATAAAAGTTATCTCCCGAATCTTACGGTGGTTTTCAGTGTATAAAAGTAGCAGTTTGTATATCAGAAAGCAACAGACAGCTGATTTATCTCTGATCCTTCTCAGCTGTTTCATCCGCGTTGCTATGAGAGCGCGTGCTGCTGCCGATTTAAATCCCCCCGTCTCGTGCCCTCTCTGATGCCGCTTTAAAGAGCTCCATAACCGCCAAAAGACACCGACAGAGCCCGACTGACAGTATACACCACCTTTAACATCATTTTACTCCTCGTTATTTTCACACTTAATTCCGTCTGAAGAAATATGACAAGGCAAAATTATTTGGTAAACACACGCAAAACTGATATTAGTAAAATTCATCCAAAAGCAAAACAAAACAAAAACCCGACGACGTTTCGTGCGTGCGCATTTTACAGTGTAATTTCACCCTCTATGCTAGTTCAGAGGGTCAGAGCAGCCATTTTAACAAGACATGACAGGATAAAAACCGGTTCCAGAATTAAAAGCAGTGATGCTCCGTCAAAGCTGAAATAGCCTCCTGTTAATGTGACTGAAGGGGACCCGGAATGGCACAGTGAATGACTAATCAGTTACACCTGTGTTAAGCCTGAAATGCCATGCAAAAATGATTGCCATTAAAAAACAAATAAACAAACAAACAAAAAACTGTGGGCCTCGTAAAACACCCGTCAAACACCGAGTTATAATTAAAGAAAAAAATGTGGCTGACATTTTTGTCTGCCATCCACGTTTACTAACACAACGTTGTTAGCCTCCTGAAACTAGAACCAGTACGAGGTAATGTCGGTGAATTCCACGCACCTGTACCTTAAGCTCGACAAAATAATCTTCTTCGGGAATAAACGCGCTTAATATTTAACAAATACCTACCTGAAGTTAAAACGGGGCTATTCCAAAAAGCCGTGGCCTCTGTAGGCGATGTTGTTTCCTCAGGCCTCAGCTGTCCCCCCGCTGTTGTTCCTGTTTTCTCATGTTCACCAGCCACGTTTTCAAATTTGGAGCCCTCTGTTGGCTGTGTCACGTGCTTCCTCTCGGCGCTACCGGCCTTCCGTCCGTGTGTGGTTACCATAGCAATACACACCACATTGTCGATGAGCGTTCAGCCAAACGGGAGCAGGTAAACTAGTTTTGCTTAACATTATTAACATTAATGTGATCTTGCATTAATTACTCAAGAGACACTTAAGAGATAAGTCTGCCTTTCCCGAATGTTACATCCCTAATTATAGAACCTAGCTGTTTCTGACGAACTATTAAAATTACCAGTAAAGTTAAGGTAGCTAGCTAAAAAGCTGGTAAGTTATACAAATATAATGCAGAACTGCCATGTCTCCCTTTTATGGAACACTTTTTGACACATTGACTGTGTAAATTCTTTCCAGAAATGAGTGAAGACGCAGTTTTATCCCTTCAGAGTCACTCCACCACTGTGGACTACAGGGGCAAGGTTCCTGTGGAGCACCTGGACTACGATTACATTGAAAAATGTAAAGATGTGAGATACCTCGAGAAGATCCTGAGAACACTGAGGTAACTGTCTGTTGAGCGATATAGTGTTGTTGGAGGAAACTCACTGTCCCTTTTCTTCCTTTACCTGTGTTCAATGGACTTTTGCTGCTTTTTTTAATCGTATTTATATTTACATGCTCAAAATAAAGCAATCAGTCAGTCCAGTCCCTTTATAGTGTTGGTGAGGTTTTTCTTTATGAAGGTTATAAACTCATCATCATGTCAAGTTTCACTCACTCTCCACTGAGATGGTAAGATGTATGTGCTATATTGCAAATAGATTACGTAACACTTGTCATCAGTTGCAGAGGGATAATAGTGCATGTCATAACAAAATACAGGCTGGCAAATGTGAATGAAAAATATTGCAAAAAAAGCTATTCCTTATTTTTCTTTTTTGTTTGGTTAAAGGTCTGGCGAAGAGGGCATTTATCCTCACCTGATCAAGTTCTGTGAGAGTCACCTGGAGAAACTGGACCCTAAGAGCCGAGCTCTTAGGAAGGAAATGCCTGTAGCCACAGCAGCCAGCCTCTCTAAAGATGAGTGGAACCAAATTGAGGATGAATTGAAAGTATGGTACACATTTTTTTCTTTCTTTTAAAAAAATAAATAAATCCTGTTTACTTTGTTCTCACATGGCTGTTTCTCTAAATACTTTGCTCAGAGATGGCAAGAAGAAACCAAAAAGACTGAAACAACCCTGAAACACCAGTCAGTATTTGATGATCTAGTGAAAGAAAATATGCCACCTGTAAGAGGTTTCAATTGCTTCGTTCCTCTGAGCCAGGTAAAAAAAATCAAGGCATATACAGTACATAACCAGTTACATATATGTATAGAAGACAAATATTCAAACAGAGTTTTTTCTCATGATAGAAAACAGTTCCACAAGAAAGAAAGAAACCCTCAAAATGCGCCCTACCACGTGATTACCGAGAATGGGACAAGTGAGTCATGCTGTCTCCACATTTGTCTATTATATTCAGAAGAAAGACCCCACTGTTGCAGCAGCTGAATTCTCTGTGCATAAAAGCTTCCCAAGTCTTTTTACTTTGTAAAAGGGCTTTAAAGCTAAACTGCTTCCATTACAGTGATCCACAGTTTAAAAACTTGACCTTTAAGTGTATATTTTACACCTTCTTTCCAGGTTCGATGTGGAAAAAGAATGTGAGAAAATAGAGGAGGATGTGGACAAAACTGATCCACCTGCAATTATAAACTCAGGACATCCTAAAATCAAGACTCAAGTGGACACTTCATGTAATCTATTGTGGATAGAAAGTGTTCTTTTGCAGTAATTATTAAGCATACAACGTACATCAGGTGTGTTGGCATTTTTGTGTAACATGTAAGGTTTCCCCTGTGATCCATCCAGTGCTGTCACAACAGGAGAAGCTCTTCCTGGCAAATCGTGAAAAGGACAAAGGCAATGAAGCTTTTAGAGCAAAGGATTATGAGGAGGCGGTCACATACTATTCCAGGTCAGGTTCTTTAAACAACTCATTCATTGCAGAAAGCACTTAGCACCTCTTAAAGGGCTTTTTATCATTTTGCTTGGTAAATATTGTAAGTAGTAGACTGTCATCTTTCATTGTAGCTGTAGTAGTAAGTGTTTGTGCAATAATCTCACTGTAAATAGAGGTTTGCTTTATTGTTTATTCCATTACAGGAGCCTTTCCATTATAACAACTGTGGCTGCATACAACAACAGAGCCCAGGCAGAGATCAAGCTCGAGCACTGGCACAATGCCCTGAAAGACTGCCTGAGTGTGCTCGAGCTAGAACCGGGCAATCTGAAAGGTGTGTTAATGTTATTTCTATAATTTCTAACACAATAATGCTTCCAGAATAAATACACCTGCACTTTTAGATGTATTTATATGATGTGGTATACTTTAGCTACAGCAGCATTAGTGTATGTGCTACATATTGTAATGCACTTCTTTCCGTTAGCCCTGCTTCGTCGTGCTGTTGTTTATAATCATATGGGCAACTTCCACATGGCCACTGAAGACCTGAGGACGGTGCTCAGGGAAGAGCCACAGAACACCCCTGCAACTGTAGGTGATGGTACTGAGGCATGTTCATCATGCGCCAGTCTACCTTTCATCCACTAGGTGTCACTGTATTTGTGAAAGTTGAGTGATTTAGTGAGTCTATCACTGGAAGTCTTTCATGTATTTATGTCATTACCATAAATAGAGGATGATGTGGCTTTTTTAACAGATCTGTATCAGTGAAACAGCTCAGGATGTGCTGTGTTTACCCGTCCCCTTTAATTGCATTGTTTAACTTCTGTTTCTATTTATTTGAGTATAATTTAGGTGTAAATGGGAAGAAAATGTTCCTTTTTGTAGTTATACATACACCAGTCACTACAACTAAGTAATCTAGCATAGATTGTGATATGAATAGTTGTGACAAACAAAACATGAGATGTTCTAATGGATGAATTGTTTGTGTTTTAGCAACTTTTGTCTCAAATTGAGAAGAAGATGGAGGAATGCCAACAAGAGAAGCAACGCAAGGGCAAAAAAATCCTCATCCAAGAGATAGAAGAGGCGGATAACCAGACTGACAGTGACAACAAAGCTCATAAAACTGGTGATTGTTTGAACTACTAAAAACAATCAATATCCTTAAACACAGACATAGAGACTATAACGGCGCTAATGGCCATTTATGATAACCATTTGCATCCAAAAATCAATCAAACCGCAACTGATTTAAATGTTGCTTACTCTCTATTTAACATGCAGTGAAATCGTTTTTCAGTTATAGTCAAGCTTAGGTAAGTTATGAGTTCAGAGGAAACTTAGATTTTTGTTAAAAGTGTGCATTGATCCTTTATTTGACATGTTTTTATTTCACTGTTGATTTCATATTAACTAGCAAGACTGGCAGGAAGTGAATGAGGTAAACCAGTAGACTGTGGTACACATTTCCCAGATGAGATTTTTCCCTTACTGGAGATATATTTTTATCTATATTCTCATTTAATGAAAAGTAACAAGTTAAGTCATTCCACTGACTTAACTGGACTCAAATCTATTGCTACTCTAATTTATGTAACTTGAATGAGGTGTTAAATTTTAACTTTATAGCAGAAAGTTTTTTGTGTCTTTATAGCTGTGCTGGATTTAGAAGTTGAAGGATTTGCCCTCTAATACAGTCACGATTTATACAGAGCATGTTAGGAAGCTCCAACATTGCCGGTAATAGTAGTGCTTTAGTCACATCCCCTTCTGTCTGCTGTCCTATAGATAGAGGAAATTCCCCTCTTGTCTCTCTGGGTGAAGGAACAGTGCATGCATGTGTTTTCTGCCCTACCCCCACACAGCCCTTTCATAAGTCACTGTTTGGTATCTCTACTTCCTGGAACTCCCTGTTTGAAGTGGCTCCGTGTCATGTGCTCCTCTCCTCCCACACTATGATGTAACTGCTGACTCTTTCCTGTGGGTGTGACTTCCCCTTCTCTGTCTCTCTCCCTCTGCTTCTCCCCTCCCTCCCTCTCCCTTCCAGCTTGTCTGGTTCAACCTAGCCAGCCCGTGGGAGGGGAGGAGAGATCAGCTACTCCTGTCGAAAGGGGAGACATGGGAAACGCTCATAAAAAGCCCCACGGCAGAGGGGACGGGGGTCCACACGCCGAGTCCAACAGCTCCCACCATGAACACAGGAGGAACAGAGGCAGCTCAGACAAGTACAAAGTCCCGCAGGAAAAGATAGCCAATGGATCAAGCAAGAGAGGCTCGACAGCTTCGGTTCAGGGTGATCAGAGCGGCAGCGGTAAGGCAACTCCAGTTGGAGGAAATGCTGGAGAAACTGTCAACCTTGATGCCCCATGTGGGGCCCTGCCCCCACCCCTGGCCCGGCTAAAGAACGAAGGAAACCTGCTGTTTAAAAATGGACAGTTTGCCGATGCACTGGAGAAATA